AAAAAAAAAACATATTAAATAGATCACAATAGATAATTTGTAAAAAGTTTTAATAAAAAAAATTTGCCAATTAGTACATTTTAATTTTCCTTACAGACTAAAGGCAATTGGCACACCAGTTTTGTTCGCTATATTCTTTTTCCAATAAACAGCATTTTAATTTACATCAGGCATGCAAAAAAACATTTAAATTTCAAAAAGCACCTTTTTGTTTTTTTTTTTTTTTTAATTTTTTTTTACTACTTTTAAGCAGATAGCTGTGCAGGTTAATCTCAATTGCAATTTATTATATAATTACTGTTTAAGGTGATAATCTAGTAGAATAAATGCATTTATGCTTCTTCATTAAAGAATATAATGAATAAATTCAGATAACTGTTACTAACTAGCATTTGTTTATACATCATATAAAAATTTTATATAAGGATAGGAGAGATCATAGGCCTCCTATAGTTTAACAGTAGTTCTAAATTAATATATTTTATAATTAAATAAATCAACTTAAAATTCATTATGCTAAAAATGTTCTTTCAGTTATTAAATCTTAATGTGAAATTTAGGTCAGTTATTTATATAAGTATTATAATGGTATGCTAGCTTAAAAACTATTTTAGCTGTTCTGTTTGATGTTTGTATGTTAGTGATACATTCCGTGCGTACTGTTTCTGCTAGGCTGATATAATTTATTTTCTTTCAAAAATTGATAATATTTTGCTATTTTATGTAGTTTTAAGACAAGATAATTTATTGTAATTGATAGGTTAAATGAAGTTTTTGAATAAGATATGTATGTATATATATATTTGAAAGAAGTAAAAGTTTTTGAGATGTATCAAGATATATCAAAACTTTGAATATATGATTAAAGTAGTGCATAATAAATTCTAGAATGAGTTTAGTCAGTCTAAAATTAAAAAACAATTAAGTCCATTAAGGAAAATTATTATTTATTGAATTATTATTTTTGTTTATTTGTTGTAGAAAATGATTTTAATTAAATGATTAATTATATTACAAATCTTATTTATTACAGAGTAATATTTCTCAATCACTAGATTGTGACTCAGTAGAGGAGATAATTTAAATCTATAGTCTTTTGTTATATTGATAGAAATAACCAAGAAAAAACAAAGTAGGAAATACTTGAAGCTAGTATAGTTAATATGAAAATATACCATATACTTCTGTATGTGAAAATCTACATACATATAGACACATAATAACAAATTTGTAAAATTCTCAGATTTTCTGATATTAGCAATTCTTCCATAGAATAGTTGAGAAATAATGATAATTGTGAAACTAATTATGATGATGTAAATTAGATTACTAAATATAACATCAGGATTTAAAATCCTTGATTTGAAACAGACTTTTTGTTTTATTTAAAATTGAACAAATTATTATGTAATAGATGAAGAGGTTCTAATATTTTTCATTAGCATCAAACATAATAGCTTATAAATTGATAAAATGTTCTTTGTAATAAGGTATGCCAAACTCATTCTTTACAAAAGTGTAAAATTATCCAAATTAATGTTAAATTCATATTTGTGACTTTTCTTGGGGTTTTGAGAATACAGAACACAAAGACAGTAGCTTGGCAACTATAGTAAAAATAAATATATATAAAATGAAAAATAGGTTTAAAATTTTTATAAATAATTATCTGTAGCAAAATTTTTTACATTAATATAAAAGGTATTAAGGAAAAATATTACTAAAATTTTCATTTTGTATTGAAAAATTCCAAGCATCTTTTTATACAATTTCTTAATATATTTTGTTAAGTTAACAGTTATAAAAGCCCTAAGTTTTATGATTTACTAAAATAAAAATAATGGATTTTTGATACTGATACTGAAATGCTTATAGAATAGCTGAAAACTATTCTGTTCATATCTCTGATAATTTTATTAGATAATATGTTTATCTTACATGCTAATTCTCAAAAGACGCTTTTATATTAACAGTTTTTTTACTTGTTACTTAACAAGACTTAATAAAATTAATAAAAAAATTTTCCATCATAAAGAAAAATCTTAAAATTCAATTTCAAATTCTTGGTGAACTCTTTAAAAACTTATTTTTTAATATTATATAGAAAATATTTAACAAAATTGAATCTATTTTGTATTTTTATATTTTAAATTAAAATGTAAAAATTCAAACTTAAATGAAATGAGTCCAACAGTTTATTATGTAATTATTGTGTCTGTGTATAGAATAAGTAGTAAAATATTCTAGCTCTTAAATCTAATTACAGTTATAAGCCTTGAAAACATGATAAAAATTGAATTTCATGATAACTGTAATATGAATTATATGTCTATTTAAAAGATGACTACTTTTAACAAAGGGAACAATTTTGATCTAAGTACAAAATGATAACTTGTGAAGATCTCAGATGAAATTATCCTTGATCTTCATAGATATTTACAATTGATGGATACTTCAACTGTGAAATGAAGTAAAAAAATTTTCTAAGCTTTGCAAGAACAAACAATTGAAAAGAAAGGTTTTTTTTTTTAAACTCAAAGTTATTGACAAAATTTATGAAACTCGTATAATTAGATGAAAAGTGTAATATTTCCCAACAAAACTCAGTTTCAAGTGCAAAAATTTATCAAACATGAAAGAGAATATGTAAATGATTATTTACTGTGCTGTAAGCAGTAAAACATATTTCATAGTAATAGTTTGTATCTTATTACCATTGGACTTGGATATAATGGCTCTTGGAAAAATAGCAAATGTATTAGAAAGAGCATTCTATTCCATGTTATTTTTTTATTTTTGAAATATAACAAAATACCTCCAGTTTAATTAAATAGCTATAGTTAAATGATCTGACATTGTCCATTGAAAATTTGTGGAATATAAAGATAGACTTAGAGAAATGAATTATATAATAAAGAAAAGTTGATTTTAGTTATATATTGATTTTTTATATCATAAAATGATTATCAAGTTCTTCAAAAATATCAAATGTATTGAAAAACTAAATTAAATTCTAAATTTTAAAGCTGTATTATCTATTATCATCATTATAATTTATTTTGGTGGTCAATATAATTTTTATAACAATAATATCTGTACAGTTTGCACAGAACTATAAAGCTATACTTACAATTTTATTAAAGTAAAATTTTTTTTTTTTTTTTTCTTTCAGGATCAATATGACAATCTATCAATACACACTCATCGAGGAATTGATTTTTTAGACAGATATGGACAATTTGTTAAAGAAAGATGCAGTATTGAACATGAATATGCTTACAAACTCAAGTTAGTTTACATAAATATTTGTTTAAATTTAAATAATAATAATAATAATTATTATTAGTTTGTTGTACAGATAATTTTAATATTTAATGGATTTTGAATTTTATGTGGAACTTTGTTTCTTAATAGATCAATAATATATTTTCATTTTGTAAAAGATAATATTAGATTAAGCTAATAATATCTACAAAGGCTGTTTTTTAAAGTAAGAATCATTTGAGCATCCCATCTATGCATGACATTAACTGAAGCTGTTTTAAGGTCAACAGCTTTTTCTAGGCATCCCAGGATGCTACTAGTCATTTCGGAGATTCTTAGTGTATGAAAACATATTTATTGATAGTGTTTAGAAAATCATATTAATCTTGTCAATTGCAAAGTATGATAATTCAATTTTTTAATGCAAAAAATATTCTCATTGAGAAATTCATCATTGGTATATTGAAGTTTATGGGGAAGATATAATGAAGAGGGAAATGTTCATAAGTGGTATTGTTTATTCAACAAAAGAAGAACAAACATCCATGATGAACCAAGATCTGGGCACTCCTCTGTCATCACTGAGGAATTGAATGAAAGCCATTGTTGATATGCACATTCAGTAAAACAGACGCTTCATGGTTTACAAGCTTCATAAAACCCTTTTATTCCAAAAATTGTATTACTTATTCCTAAGTACAAATTCTTTGAATTAAAACATATTCACTGCATTATTGTACATTTAAATATGGAATATTTTTATATTCTGATATATTTATACAGTGGTACAGTAAAACACAGAATAATGATACAAAAAATTTACCTTATAAGCAAAAAGCACTGGAAACAATATTTGAATTCTTATTCTTTGTTTTATTGTAATGTAGCATTTTAAAGATTAATACTGCAGCATTCAAAATATTTTGTTACGTATAGAAATTTCATTTTTATAATAAAAATAATTTTTTGGGATTTATATTTCTCACTTGTTAAACATGGAAAAGGATTAATACAAATATTAAAAGAAAAAAATGATTCTGATATTAAAGATAAAAGCTGTAGTTTACAGATACAAATCATTAATAAGAGATTCATTGATGGATGAATGTTTAAATGAATTTTTTTATTTTGTAAATGATGATTTGCAATTATTGTAACAGAAAGCAAAACAAAGATATTTTATAGTTGTTTTATCTTTTCTTATTAAATTATTTTCAGAAAACTTATCAAAAATCATTTACCAAAGAAAATTAATGAAGATGAGTATTACAAGTAAGTATTGTTTTTTCTGAAGTGATTGTTGTTTTTGTTACATCTTTTTATGTTTACAAATTTAAAATGTTTTAATATATGTTATCTGTAAAACTTGAAATTAAAATGTTTAAAATTCTTAATTTCATTATATTGATTAGCCAAACTATGGGAAATAATGAAAATTATTTTGTTTTAAAATTATCTTATTTTGTAGAGAAGTGATATTTTGATGTTAGATGTTGTTCAAAAAACTTTAATGTCAATAAAAATAAGATTTTTGTTGTTGAAATATTTAATATGTTTCAAATTTATATTAACATTTTACTTTCTTGGTATTATAACATGCTCTAATCATGTTAAAATTTACCTTCTGGATTTTTTGCAAATCACAATGTTTTGAGACCTGAACCCAAAAGAGTAAACAAAAAAGGGGGGAAATTGTGTTGGCATCTATTTTATGTAATATCTCCAGATGGGATAAAGATTAAAAAATGAAATTTGGCATGGTAAGTTGTATATAAGAGGCATTGAGGCTATTAAATTTTGGACTAAAGCAACTCAAGGGGAATGGGGAGATGAAAAGAAGTCATGTCGTGTCATATCTTGAATGGGGTTGAACTTAATGAAAATTTGTCATTATTGCCATTTACAATATTTTTAAAGATTTATTTCTGCACTCAAAGTTAAACCTTTTTTTGCATCTTTATAACAATTAATAATATAAAAGTTACTTTTTAAGAATATCATATAACAGATTACACCACAAACAATTTAATTTCAGCTAGTGTCATAATGTTTTTTTTACATGTAAAAAAATATATATTATAATTTAACAAATTTACTTCTTTTAAGCTTTTGTTATTACTTAAATTTTATATCCTAGTATAATTGAAAATTAATGAGCTTCCTAATGGTTCATAATGGCTAACCTTGTGTTTGAATGCTGGAAAAGTCAGGCAAGAGCCCTTGCCAGTTTTTTCTTAATAATATATCAAGTTATAACATTGATTGAATTGAATCAAATGGAACTGTCCAAAAGAATTTCAAATAATTAAAAAGTTTTAAAAAATTTATTTTAATTAATATTTACAGATTATCTTCATGTCAGGCATTTATGCAGATGACAAAAGAAATTAATGATCTAGCTGGTCAACATGAGCTTATTGCAGAAAATCTTACTACTTCAGTTGTAAAAGAAATAACAGTTCTTGTTAAGGAAATGAAAGATGAAAGAAAAAAGGTATAAAATTAAAAAACTTTAGTTTTTTAGTTTAAATTTTCTATTTCATTAAATATTTTAATGTATTTTTAAAATTTTACAGTATTTACATGAAGGTGCTAAACTTCAAAATACATTACAGAATTCAATTGCTCAGTTAGAAAAGGTAAATGATTATATATATAATATTTTTATTTGATGTTGAATTTGTAATAATAATGTATTTTAGGCAAAGAAAATATATGAAAAAGCTTTCAAAGAAGCTGAAAAAGCACAAGATAATTATATTAGAGCAGATGCAGATATTAATTTGTCTAGAGCAGAAGTTGAAAAGGTACATTATTTTATATATGTAAACAATTATTTATTATGATCAAATCTGTTTATAATAAATCTAAAAACATATACGGTAAAACCTGTCTATGGTGACCACCCACGGTTCCTTCAAAAAGTGGTCTTTTAGACAGGTAGTCTTGTAATAACATATTTCCGTAAGTATTTGTGCACTTTTTAGCCTTTCTACTAAGCAAAACTCGAGATGAGCAAAAATAAGCGAATTTTTTCAACGATAGGGCTATATTGGTATTGTATTTTATTCTTATCAGATACTGTAACTCAATTTACAGGAGTCATCGTGATTTTATAAGACAGATTTAATACCAATATTTTAAAGATTAATACAATACAGTCACATTTTCTCTATTATAATGCAAATTTTCTTTTTTCCAATTTAATTCAACTCGGTTCTTTTCATTCGCTCCTCAGTTACGTGTATTACGTCATCGATACACAAGCGCATAGTATCTCTACATCACTTTGGTTTTGGTATTCATTAGTTTAATCTTATTTTAACTTTAAAAATACTGTATTTTTTATTATTTAATATTTTATTAATCAATAATAAAACAATTTTATTATTATGTCTCATTATACGATTTCGTTACATTCCACGATTGTCATTGCAGAATTGAAAAAGGAAGGTTGCCCGTAAAACTGATTTTTGCATTAATGCGTTTATTGTTTTTTGAATATTTTGCATGCGAAAATTACTTGTATATTATTTTTCTAAAAATATCGTGGAAATAATGTAGATTGATACAGAAACTATTTATCGCACATGTACTGTATATGAGCTTCAAAAAAAAAAAATAATAATAATAATAATTAAATAAAATAAATTTTATCAAATGATGAGATCAACCGATTAATTGTATCATGTACAATATTTTATACCCCTAAGGAAAATACTGTAGGTGTACAGTAAAATAAATTTCATTTTCTCATTTAAACTTCGCCACTAATTGCCATTGTGATAAACCATTTTCACTTTCTCTGATGATTTTAACACGATCTTCTAACGACAATACTTTGCATTTCTTTTGTTTTTCAGACATTTTCCAACAAACTGAAATGAATTTCCTTTGTTGCTAGACTAATTTATTAACACCTGCATCTAATTTCAAGGGTGGGAGAAGTGCCCAGGATGGGTTTGAATGAGAGTTTAGATCAGATACATTCGCAAAAGTGGTCGCTTATTACAGGTGTTGTATGTTGTTTCGGACCAAAAATCGATGCCCATGGTTGTGTTACACAGGTGGTCGTTTAATACTGGTAACTTATACAAAGACTCTATGGATAAACTATTCTGTGCCAGAAATTTTTGCCCATTTTGACAGGTGCCCGTTGAATGCAGGTGGTCGTCTAAGCAGTTTTTATACTGTATTATAGTTAGTTGGATAAGTTACAGTAGTTGTGTGATATGAATTCAAATCTAATCCAGACATTCATGATTATTTGTGAGTAGTTTTGATCATAGCTTTCGTACCGATTCTTTATTTGTGCTCACCAACTTCAATACAAATGACCTAGCTCATAATTGACAAAATGAACCAGACTATAAACTATTGTAAACAGATACTTTGTGAAATAAATCCAATCTAATTCTAAACAAAATCAAACTGAAAAGTTCCAGAAATCTAAATCCAAATGTTCTATTATGAACCAAATAAACCTTTAATATTAAGATAACTCTAATATATATATATATGTGGTACATCAAGAACACAGAAATTTTATCAAAGATAAGATGATTGAATTTCTGTTGAAACTAAGCAAACAAGCTTAAATAAACATGCATATGTTCAAATATATTTTTATATGTACAGGTACACATACCATATTTCTTCAATTAAACCTTGGGAAATTATTTTTAAAATGTATGTATTTTCCAGAGTTTATTACTTTGCTCCAGATGAGTGAATAAAAATTGAAAGAATTACCTAACCTACTCATACATTTATTGACTGCATTTATGTGTTACAGCTACAACATTTGAAATAATTACTGTTTTCATAGTTAACCTTGATCTGTCATCTTCCAGTTTGGTTATTACTTTTTATCCATGTCTGCTTTGATGTTATTGTAGTAATAAAGATCTTGACTATTATCTTCTGGTTAAAATTCACCATCTTCCAATTTGTGTTTTCCTAATTGACTTTTGCTGATAAGCTCTCAACTTATGAACTCAGTTGTGACTTTCCCACACTCAATATTCAACAACATTTATAATGTTAATAAAATAATTAAAATATTCAATGCAGCCAGAAATTTAAATTAAAATGGTTAAAAAAGTTTTTTAAAAGATTTTTTTTTAAATACGAGGATAATTCTCAATGTGTTCTGGCTTTAGTGGCAATAAACACATTCAAACAACAAGACATAACAAGAAAGCAATTATTTACAGTTATTTTAATTTATAATTTTATTTCAAAAAACATTTTTATGAACCTTGAAGTAAAAATGCTATCTGACTCAACAATTTGAAAAGTTAGAATTTTAGTTAAACTCTTTATCTGTCATTCTAAAAACTACATTAAAATATACAGTACATCAATATGTTTCCTAAGCTTTTCAAACCAGGGTTTATTTTTAACAGTGCCTTTATTCCCTGGGTTTATTCAAAGACCAAGATTTGGTTGAGGAAATACACTATGTATTATTATTTTTTTTATTTTTTTTTATTTTTTCTTTTAGAAACAAAATTCAATTAATAAATAATAGATTTTATGGACAAGTTCAACAATTCTTCATAATAACTTAAAACTGGATTTTTAAAAATTTTATTTAACATTTATAATTCAAATTTTTATTTTTGTCAAATGCTTTTAAGCTCTAATCCCATACTGAAGAATACATACAGAATTACAATTTTTAACTGAACTTTTTATCTAGTAGCATCAACAATAACAACCAACCATTATTATAAGAAATGTATTTTCTAAATGATTCAGTTGTATTCTAAGTGAACAGTTTTTGGCTTTGGAATCTGTAGATTATTTCCTTAGTTACAGCTGTGTTACTTTTCATTTTAATTTGATAAAGATAATCTAAAAACCGTAGCATTCTATATTTTATTTTGAAGCTGGTGGTGTTGAGCTTTTTAAAAATATGATAAAATATGAAATTATTTCATTTTTTATTCTAAATAAAAAAAAAGAAAAAAAATCTCAATTTTAAGTAAGTTCCATGAGCATCATCACAGTTCAGAAATTTATTCGGAGCTTTTACATATAGCCTTGTATTTCTTATTGCTTTTTCAAATCTTTTCAATGTTTCCAGAAAATAAAAAGATCTTACTTGTTAGATAAAGACAATTATTTCAATTGAATATATTGATGTGTTTAAAAGTCATTTTGTATTTTTAACATGTTTTGTATTTCGTGGCATGCTTAAAAATGACTATTTGTTAAAAAAAAAAAAAAAAAAAGTGAAATGTTTAGTATGGACTTAAATATTTTTTTAAAACTTTTTGAGAAATAACAGTTTAACAATTGTTTATTTTTCATCTTTAATTGAAAAATTATTGTCAATGTAAAGTTTAATGATTAGTTAAGTCATCATTCAAAAAGTTAAAAACTTTTAAAACCAAACTTTGTCATTTGAACCAATATAAACATATTTACCTTACAGTGCTGCAAATAATTAAATTTTAAAAAAGTTCTGAAAAAACTATCTTTTAAATAATATACCATTAGTTTATCATTTATATTGAATCAATGTAAATATTTAAATTGTGATTTAAAATGCTATAAGTGCTACACTGATTAAGTCTTTACTGATTATGAATAAAAATAATGTATCTTATTTTTTAGGCAAAATCATTAGCAACTATGAAAAGTCAGCTTTGTGAAGTTACGAAAAATGATTATGCTGATCATCTACAGAAGACTAATGAATGGCAAAAATTACATTATTCTGACTATTTGCCAAAATTATTTCAGGTAAGAATAAGAGTTTAATATGTGGAAGTATGATCTGATACATAGATATTCTTTTTCTCTAGATAAGTTTAACTTGCAGAAAAATAGATTTATTATATGTTTTAATTTTATTTCAAAAATATAATTTGGAGAATAAACTTTTAAATTTTGTGCAAGTTCATTTTTAAAGGGAATTAGAAATAATTTTATTAAGAAAAACTGAGAGTTTATGAAAATGCAATTGTTAAATAATGTATAAATTGTAATAATTTGACATTGTTCTAACTATGCTTGTTTGGACTTTGTGGTTTTTAGAATTGAAAAATCTTATGAAAATCATTATTTTATATAGTGTATAAAGCACAAAGCACATTGCATGTTGTATACAAAGGACTTGCACAAAATTATAATACTAAAATTACTTATCTGTGACTTAGATCCTAATGTTTATTGAGAAATGAATCAAATTTTCCATCGGTATTTATTCTAACAATTTGCAAATGGTTGATCACAAATAATTTAATAACATAAAAGTATTGCACAATCCTACATTAGACAGTCTTTTTTGTAATTCTAAACAAATTTCTAATGATAATAATTGTGTTTAAAATAACAATTGTAGAGATAAATATTTTGAGAACCAGAGAAATTATAAAAAATATTTGAGATACTATTATTAAAATTGAACATTGGAAATACTTTTGGTTGGAAAGAATTAATAGTTACATGTAAAAATATGTGTAATTTAATTTGTTATCATGTCATTGATATGTTATATATTAATTATCCAACATTTTTATTAGAACAATTAATCTTACATTTATTACACAGATTAATAATCTGATAATTTATCAGATATTTAATTGTATATCAAAATATTAATATTTGATTAATGTTTTTAGATATGCTGATAATCAGTTTTGTATTATTTTCAAATTTATATTCGATAAATGATGATGATAATTTTTTAACTATTATTAATTGAATATAATTATGTCAAAATATTAAATAGAAAATTGCCAAGTCTAATTACTCATAATTTAAAAACTATTTTAGTTTTTATAAATCATTAAAATTTCTGAATTAAAATTTTAATAATGCTTTAACCAATCAGTAATATTGAAAAACTTATTTAGATTTTAAGCATATTTTTTTATATTTTAATAATGTAAGTTTATATAATATTTATAAAGTACTTTGCTAATGGTCTGAATTATCACTGGGTAGTATTGGTTGATGATATATTCTAAAAGAAATGGATAAATGATATGCTTAAAATTTAAATATATATTAATATTTTTTTGTTTGATCATAAGTTTTTTGTCATTTATTAAATATTTTTTGCTATAGTATTTATATTAGATTAATTTTATTATTATAATTTATATTTGCATTGAAAATTTTTATCTAGCAATTACAAGATATGGAAGAGAGGCGGATAGCTTGCATCCAGAATTTTATGAAACAATCTGCTGATGTTCATAAACGCGTCTTGCCTATTATTAATAAATGTTTGGATGGAATGATAGACTCAGCAGAAAGTATTAATCCTAAAAATGTAAGTCAGTTATGTATAGAAAATTTGTTACATATTCATAATAACGATGTATGTGGTTTTGAAATTAGGATTCCGAGATGGTTTCAGATATGTATAAGACTGGACTCTCGCCACCGGAAGACATTCCTTTTGAAGATCTCAGTAATATGAAAATATCCGACCAGACAGGAAATGGTCATGCCATACAATATAATAAAACAGACACTATTAAGGGAACGGTTTCGGCTGGAAAACTGAAAAAACGAGGAGGAATTTTTGGCATTTTCAGTTTGAATAAGGTAATTTTTGTTGTAAATTTTCAATATCAATTAGTTCATTATTTTATTAAATCAAAGATATCCTCTATTGTAAAACTTTACAAAATATTTATAGTAATAATCAAATGATAAGGCCAGATTAACTATTAGACTACAACTTGGCCAATTAATTATATGAATATCAAATAATTTGGACTAAAGGTAGGTGGTTAAGCTGCCATCCATCATGTATTACATTTAACTAGCTGCTTATGCCTGCATTGATTGGGATTTTTAGGAGATGCCTCCTAGTTGACTTGAGTTGGGAGAGGGTAATAAGAACAATGGTCTTAATGTACAATAATAAAACTTCAAAATGCTAAAAAATTGCTTGGACTAAAGTTAACAGATTGGGACCCTAACATGTTTTTTCTATAGACTTAACATTGTATCTTTGCCCCTTCACCATGCCTGAACCATTGCACCTTTCCCAAATCTCTCTTCAGCAGCATCATCTACAGGATAAAAGCTTTAATTTTATACCTAAACTATATTTTTAGCTTCTGCCATTTACTCAAACTAAGTCAGACAAACTGAAACCCTCTTTAAATTAATATATTAAATTTAATAATAAGAAACAAATTAATTAATTTAGACTTTTCTGGAAGAAAGATCAATCTGGGACAAGACTCAAACCCACAACTTCTTTTTATCTTGCAGATGCATTAAGAACTATAATACCTAGATACCAGGACCTCCATCCAATCTTTGCTTCTCGACCAGTTAATTTGAGATAAACCATATAAGTCACTTACTAATATGATTTGATCTTAGTAATTTGACCTAAAAAATTTCAAGGCTAAAATTATATAATATTTGTTATGGTCAGTTATATCTTGTGAATTAATTACTCTGGAAGCAAAGATCAGACAAGTGGTCCAACTAGTGTAATTGGCAACACATTTGCATGATAAGCAGAAGGGTTTAAATCCTGCTCTGAATTTTTTCTTCAAGAATGGTCTAAATTAATTAATCCTTTTTTATTATTAAATTAAGCCATATTGTATTAAACTATCATGTTGCATTAAATGAAATCCAAATTAAGTAATATTTGTATAAATTAATTAGCCACATTCTAGTCTAATAATTAATCTAGCTTTATCATTTGATTATTACTATAGTTTGGTTTTTTATAATTTTGTTATTGATATATTAAACTATTTAATTTAAACTTCTGCTTTAAGAAAGATGAAATACATTTTTTTTATTTTGAATTTTTCAAATGATATTGTTATGAAAGTTACATATATAAATTATAATATTTAAATTAAAATTAAGATCTTTATGTCAATTATTAAATATAAAATCAATTAAATTGTTTGATATTGAATTAATGTATTTTTTTATATATATACATTAAAATTATAGCTGCTTGAAAAGAAAAAATTGTTATTTTTAAGTGGTTTATTATCTTTAACTGTGTATAATTATTTACAAAATTCTAGTAACTTTTAAGTTAGTTTATGAATATATTTAAGTTGTTTAATGTTTATTTTCTTCTGAATTTATTTAAACACTAAAAATTATTGGTGAATTCTATAATGAATTTGTTCCTTTTGCATGAAAATATCACCCTTGCTGCCAATGCACTCTGGTTCTTCTCAAATTGTTTCTTGTAAGTATTAATGTGGAAGTGGTGACTGTCTATTAAATCAATTATTATTTTCTTTTAATTCATTTATGCATGTTTCATTTATTTGGTTTCTTTATTTTGTTAGTATTTTTTTAATCTTTTTATATTATACAAATAATTTTAAAAATATAGACATAACATAAAAAAGAAATGATTTTTAGGTAAATACAATACAAAATAAGACATAAATTAAGAATGTATTTTACTTAATTTATCAAATTATACCAATTACTCATCAATATTAATAAAATTATTAATGATGCAATTAATTTAACCTTTTTGAACGTATGCCATTATCTAATGATAATATCAAACAATGATAAAATAATACAAATTAATTAAACAATATTAGAAAAATTAAGAAAACAAACAATTCAAAGTGGGATTTAAATCTACATTTTTACTTATCATGAGAATTTGTTACTAAATATGGAATATACAAGATACATTCTAGTAATGACAGATCATACACATAACATAATTGTATTTGTTAAATGATTTTTATGATTTTGTTCTTAATTAAATAATATAGATTTAATATGTAATTAATGTGTATCAAATAAGATGTAAAGCTTCAAATTAAAGTTGCTATTAACTTTAAAATATATATATATATATATAGAATTTGTGCTTTGGATGTTATTATTAAATTGAAATAATTAGTATAATAAAACATTAAAATCTATATGCAAAACATGTTATTTTTTCAAGAAAATGCATTTAACTATTATTGATTACAACTGATTACATATAAATCCTCACTATATGCACTACAGGAACTTGGTTAGGACATACATGAGATGGGAAGATGGTGAGAGATGACTTGACATATCTGAACCGTCCATGGAAAATTCCTGGGGATCCCATTCACATTCAAACCCATGTCTGAACTGGCAAGCAGACATGTTTTTCATCATAGCTCAGCCAGTTATATACACAATTATTGATTTATATCATATTTTTCTTTTTTAATGCTTATTTAATAAGATGGATACGTAAATTTGATTATTTAATAAAGCTATTTTATTATCATAATATTTCCACATAGTTTGTCCTAAAAGTTTCTTGAATATTTAGAGCAAAAAAAAAATTTAAACAAAATTTAGCTGTATTCATTTTGACATATTCTATTATCAATACAACATTATATCAGTTCTCATGTTTATTGTTCATCAATGAATCGTGGCTTATCCACTGTAATATAAGTTGATTTAAATTAGTATTGAATAATTTTGAATAGATAATAGATTGAATGTTGTAAGTTTTATCCCTAGAAAATCAGATGAACCTCCTGAGATGACGATAAATTTTATTGACAATGTAATTGAAAATATAACTTCTGTGAAAAACATTTAATTCAAATAATGAATTAAATAGTTATCTTTCACAATATTTTAAATTTGACTTTGCAATTCTCAAGCAGTTCTGTATCTTGTTATATGATTGTTTTATTGATACATATGTATCACAGATTTTCATTTAATGTATCTTTTCATCTAATCTTTCTGAGCAATGTTGTTTTTGTTAATACTAATTATGAATCAATTCTATCATGATTATTGAATTTTTCACTTTACCTAACAAAATTATTCTGTCATTTTGTGTATTTATATATTGATATATATATATATATATATATAGAATTTGTGCTTTGGATGTTATTATTAAATTGAAATAATTAGTATAATAAAACATTAAAATCTATATGCAAAACATGTTATTTTTTCAAGAAAATGCATTTAACTATTATTGATTACAACTGATTACATATAAATCCTCACTATATGCACTACAGGAACTTGGTTAGGACATACATGAGATGGGAAGATGGTGAGAGATGACTTGACATATCTGAACCGTCCATGGAAAATTCCTGGGGATCCCATTCACATTCAAACCCATGTCTGAACTGGCAAGCAGACATGTTTTTCATCATAGCTCAGCCAGTTATATACACAATTATTGATTTATATCATATTTTTCTTTTTTAATGCTTATTTAATAAGATGGATACGTAAATTTGATTATTTAATAAAGCTATTTTATTATCATAATATTTCCACATAGTTTGTCCTAAAAGTTTCTTGAATATTTAGAGCAAAAAAAAAATTTAAACAAAATTTAGCTGTATTCATTTTGACATATTCTATTATCAATACAACATTATATCAGTTCTCATGTTTATTGTTCATCAATGAATCGTGGCTTATCCACTGTAATATAAGTTGATTTAAATTAGTATTGAATAATTTTGAATAGATAATAGATTGAATGTTGTAAGTTTTATCCCTAGAAAATCAGATGAACCTCCTGAGATGACGATAAATTTTATTGACNATCTTTTCAATCATTTCTTTGTTGTATGCTGTTATATTTTTAAAATATTTGTATTTTTCTTCATTAATATTCTCTAATTAATTTATAATTTTGTATGTATTTTATTTAAATTTCTTTTAAGCACCTTTTTATTTGAACAATTACAATCTGAAAGAAAACAAGAATATAAAAATATAAATATTTTTTTATAATAAAATCTTAAATATATTTTTTTGTAGGGTTTTGTTTGATTTGAAATAAAATAGTAATTAATAACTATAGAATAAAATAAATTTTTAATAGTAATATAATCTCTATGTGATTTATTTTACATAATACAAGTGTAAGAGATTTATAGCAATGACAATATTATAATATTAAAATTAACTTATAACTTGTAAGTCATTTAAATCAAAAAATAATGAGATACATTACAAACACATGCAGAATAATATTGATGAATGTAAGGATGATTGTAGCGATTTGCCGCCAAATCAGCGGAAAAAGAAACTACAGCAGAAAATTGATAATTTAAACTTACAAATTCAACAAGAAACAGGAGCCAGGTAATCAATAAAACCTTTTTTTATGCTTTCTTATATCAAATTATTAGAATTAACTGTAAATTTTAAAATATATTGTTGTTTTGTTGGTTTTTTTCCCCTTCTTCTTCTTATATCTTAAGTACATGCTTCATATATCAAACAGACTTGAATTCAGTTTTATGTAATAAACTTTATTTATTTATATATAATTATAAAAATGTGCCTTAACATTTATTTTTGAAAGATGTACAGTACACTACTTAAAAAGATCTGTAATTGTTACTCTATACAGTGACTGGAAAAAAACTTTATACAAAATAATGATAACTTTTTAATTATTTTTCAGGGATGCTCTTATGAGAATGAAAGATGTGTATGAACAGAATCCTTCAATGGGTAATCCTTTAACTATAGAAGGTCAATTAGCAGAAAACGGACATAACTTAGAAAGACTTCGGTTAGAATTACAAAAGTACCAGGTATGTACTTTCATTTATTTTTAATATTTGAACAATATTAACAAACATTACCATTTATTTTTGTAAAACATATAAGAGAGATTAATAAATTTTAGTTTAATAGTTTATTAGTTTTAATTATTTTTATTAATATATTATTATTTTCTTATTAAAAAAAGCACATAATTAGCAGGACACCCACTGCCAGAAAAAATTCTTTAGCAATTAAACTAATTAGTCATGAAAAATGTTAGTCAAATTTAGTAAACTTTAGCATAGCCCTATATTGTCAAAATATTCTGAATACAAAGAAGAGCGTCTCAATATTTTATTTTGACATATAAACCTGTTAAATGATCCTTCTATGGAAAATGGCACAACTATGAAACTTTGAACTTTGCAATTTTAATATTAATAATTTTTATTATAAATTAAATGCAAATTTTTGCCATTTCTTATAATTATTATAATCTTGAAAGTATCATTTATAGTTTTGAGAGATGACATCACTTACTGATGAAATATATTAATTATTATTCACTTCTATAAACACTCAAAAAAGGGGGTTTTGGATGAATAGAATAAAATATTATGTCCTTTGAAAGAATTATTCAGAAGATGATTTTATTCCCAGATATTTTATTTAAATGCATTTTGGATTGGAGTTTTTGTTGATCCTTCAAGGTACAGTCTGCGACAGAGTTTACACCAATTTTTTAGCTTCTAACATCAATCATAGATTATCATGATTGATATTGGAGAGGCTCAAAAAATTGGTGAATGTCGGATTTGAAGGACATAATATTTTGTTTTATTTGTACAAAAAAAAAAAAAGAACCCGTTTGAGTGGTTATAGAAGGGAATGATTATATCCAACAAATGTTGCTAATTTTAGCTTCATACTAAATTAATTCATTACATTTAAAATTACATTAGGATGTTTTAAATATGTACATTAGATTGGGCTTCATTTTGTAATCTTGCAGAGTTTATTTATTAAAGAATTTATGAGAGATGGAGCAATGCTGTTAAAGAAAATTATAACTGCATGATGGGATCCCATGTGTGTTCCATAGCCACGCTGTGCAATAAGTGCTAGATTTTTTTTTTTTTTTTTTTTTTAATAGTTACCAATATGAACTGCCTCAATGTTGGCAGGAATGCAACCTAACAAAAAATACTATAGATAACTATCTGTCTCTACAGTATTTACTAACAAAGCACTATTGTGTGAAATGACATAATTCGTACTTTACCAATGAGAGCTTCAGAAATGAGAAGGGGTGATCATTAATTAACACAGCCTACTGGTGTTAATGACCAGAAAATATTGCTTTGAGTCCGATAAAAAAAAAAATCCCTTGAAAAGTCATCTCACAATGTTGTTTAGTCAAATGAATAGTCTAATTTGCAAAAATTATTTCACTAGCAGCAAGTGGGAAACCCAAGTTAGTAACTTTACAAATTTACTACAATTCTTCACAAAAAAAAACACTCAGAATCACTATTTAAATTGTGAATAAAAATGATTTACAGAATATCAAACCTGGTAGTTTTCATTTTAAATTTAATTTATAACTTAAATTATACATTAAATATATATAAAATATTTGTTCTATAGGAAATAGCAAGTTTCTTATCCCGTGTCAAAAAATTTATTTAGTGCAAAACTGTTTAAAATCTAATATGAAAGAGAAGAAAAGTTTGAAAGCTTGAAAAAGTATCTAAAAATACTAAAACAAAAAGAATTCTCTGTTTTGTAAATAATTCTACCAACAGTTAATTTTTATTAAGATGTTCATCTATATTTAGGGTTACTTGAATGAAGCAGATGGGAAAACACCTCCGGTTCAAAGAAGACATAGAAGTAGCCTCTCGGAAGATTCATTATCAAGAAGTGCTTCAGATTCTAGTGTCAGCAATCCTTATGTAAACAGTAACAATAATAGAAATCACAATCCAGATGCAAATACTTTAACAACTCATGGGTAAGAATATAATATATTTAAGACCAGTGAAATATAAACTTACTATAAAGTTTTGAATTTAACTTAAATTTTTATTTTTATAAATCTGATATTGTTGTGGTTCTATTAATAAAGAACTGCATTTTTCTGTACATCTCTCAAATAATATATTGCACTGTACATCATGTAGAACATTATTTATATATTATTAAAATTTGCTAATAATTGCCATACTCATTTTTGAAATGACAACTAAAATGATTAAATTGGTGCAGTATATTTAAGGTGAAATTTCTACTACAAATTATGATGCTTAAATTTTTGGCCTGAACATACATGAAAAGTTGAGAATGTGATCTTATTTTCTGGCAGGTTGACATATTATCATCTCAACCTCCCACTATTTATTCTGATAAGTTCAAAGGAACTGATGCTATATCATGTAATCAATCACTGTACCAAATGTTAACTTTAAGATGAAAACAAACATAACTGTACAAGAAAGATCAAGATAAATATTGTCTCATACAGTAGTGGCCAAAATTAGAGCCACCCTTGATATATTTTTTTTAAAATTGCAACCTCTATTTTGTTTACATCCTATTACATAATTAATATTGTGATAGTTGAAAAGAGCACAAAAAAAGAGTCAAAATACTCAATTGAATCAAACAGATTTTATTTTAAATCTGATTTACAAAAGAAAAAACAAAGATTTTTATATTTTACACTGTGACAAAAGTAGAGCTAGGAAAGGAAGTTGTAGTATCAGATTATGAAAAAAGTAGAGAAAAATCAAGATATTGCCAATACTTCAGAATAAGGTCAACAGGAAAGCTCAGAAAATGATATTTTGCCAAGAAGAAAACATCCCTCGTTTCTACAAATGTAACCACATCCTCATTTAACTTTATTAATTTTTTCTTCACTGCTAAACATTAACTTGCAACACTTTTGATTGTGATTATTAAAGCAATCAATAATTAATTAACAAACATATTTCTCTTAATTACAAAAAATGCTTTTTGCTAACTTTTGATTTTGTTTCATATAGCATGGATTTGCCTAACACGACACTTTTTTGGAACCTAACTACCATGTTATAGAGGTGCTATCTGTACTACTATTAATTTTGGCAGGTGTTCATTTTATTGCAGATAAGTTACGTTCAAAATATGTAATTATCAATTTTTTTAAGTAATTTAAATAAAAAAATTCAAAAATATACTTCAATAACTGAACATTAGTGTCCCTTTCACTTAACTGCCTGAATTTTTACAAAGTTTCAAAAAATATAAACAAATTTAGCTGATTTTAATCAAAACTTGAATTTTTCAGGAAGTTTTAAGTTTCCTGATACAGGTTATACATTGTTTGTCAAAAAATGTATGAAAAAATAAAAATCAAGTTTAAGTCATTTTATTCGACTTTACGTCCATCCACCACAAATATTGAAGTCCTAATATCACTAGAAAAGCATTAAAGCGCACAAAATCATATTAAAATATGTACATTTACAGTAAATGTTAATATAATCATCATAAATCCTAGAGAACAAAACATGAAAACATCTGTGTTTCTGTGTTGTCCTCTTATTTAGCGGTCTTTAAGTGCTCAATATTAATGTTTTTAATGACAAGTAAATTTGACTTAAGTCGCCTCTCTTGGAACCAATTACCGACATAAGGCAAGGTATACCTGTATATTTTAAAAAGCTTCTTACATAAACATGAATTTTACAATAAATATATAGTAGTACTTTTATATATGTCCTTTGGAACTTAGCATAAAGTTGCTATTGAGAACAAATCATACAGAAAAATTACTTTTTCCATAAAAAGGAGTGTTTATTTTATATAATTTACAATGGATATGATTTCAGGCTTTTTGCCCCTCTTCATTCTTTATTTTGTTATGTATATTGGTAAAACTATATAAGAAATTACAGAATGTTTAATATTTATTCATATTTAACATAAACATAACTCAGGTAATTATATTTTAAAAAGTTTAAAAAAAATAATTACCTGAGTTATGTTTATGTTAAATATGAATAAATATTAAACATTCTGTAATTTCTTATATACATAACAATATACATAACAAAATAAGGACCGAAGAAGGGAATGAAGCCCAAAATGAATATCTGTTGTAAATTATAGAAAATAAAAATCTACTTTTTCCATCAGGAGGAATGAATGTTCCTGTATGATTTGTTCTCAACAGCAAGTAATCAAGTAGTACTGTATATTCTTTTATACACTATTGTACATTGGTATTATGAAGTTTTAAAATATCAAAATCTAAATTAACAGTACAACTAATCCAGATCATAAAAGTGCTAGAGCAGAATCTAGTTTAAAAGATGCATTTCTTGTGTTCATTCTGATTGTATTCATTTATTCAAACCAAAGAAAATTTTGAATGTATCTACTTTCTGCACTTAATAGTTATTTAAAAGAAACTGACATTTTTTTCCTTGAGTATTTGATGATTCTTTAAGTAAAAAATTTATATGACAAGTTTTTGTGAATAGTGAAATATTGTAAAGACTAAAAGAAAATTATACTGTGGAGTTACGGCAAAGATTATTATGCAATTTTGGCCTCAATCAACTATCAGTTAATATCAGTCCTTACGATTGGTTTCGCAGGAGTTAAACACTAATGAGAATCTACTGTAATTGTTTATTCTGTGTAATGCATGACCTAGTCATTGTTTAAATCTTTACTCCAAAAAGAAAATAATAATTGAATATTGTTTTTGATAATCTTGTTTGTAGCATTGGTTAAATATAGAAATGTCATCATGGATAATCATGTTCTAAATTAAAATAACCAACTTAAGTTATAATTTCAAGATTTTTTTTTACACGTGAACAACAACAAATTGTGAACATTGTTAGACACAAGTAGTTTTTTCCTGTGTGTCTTTAAATCAAGATATAAATCTTTGGAAATTTCTAAGAAGTGGCTAAAACAGATTTAATTTTATTTGTTCGTTTTTTTGAATTTTTAAATCTCTGCAATAAAACCATGAAATTTGCATGAATTGCAGAGAGACCGTGCAGACTTTAATGCAATTACAAAATTTTTTTGGTACTTTCAGATAATGAAATTTTTAAAATTATAGATTCTAACATTTATTGCCAAAGTATAATTATTAAAATTTTATTTGTTCTTTAGTTTGGTGTGTAAATAATTGTGTGCTTATTTAATATCAAGTAGAAGCTCCAATAGCCCGGAAAGTGGAATTGGAATGAGTCGAGCTAGTTTGCCGGATGAAGAAGAAGAAGACGAATTTGATGACTACGGCAATGAATTTGATTCTGAGCCTCTACCGGTTATAGGCACTGCCAGGGCCATTTATGCATTTGACTGTAGGTCCAAGTTAAATTACATTACAGTACATTTGATTCAAAGCCTTGCATTTTTACCATTTTATTAACCGGTTTTAATCTCTGTTAATAGCTCAGAGCGATGGATCTATATCAATTTACGAGGGCGAAGAATTTGAAGTGGTGGAATTAGATCAGGGAGACGGATGGACTAGAGTTCGCAAAAGTAATTTGGACGAAGGATTTGTTCCCACTTCCTATATTGAAGTGTTTGTTTATAACAACTGCTAATCCCTACAGCAGAAATATTTTATTAGGTAAATTATTTATAGTGATTAAGCAATTTATAATAAAAAAAAAGGCAAATTAAAACATTACATTTTTTACAGTGAAAGAATTTTAATATAGAATAATACATGCCGAATGGATTTATTCATAAAGAATGGCAAAGAATAGTTCCTGTCGACGCATCTTCGGCCTTTATAGATATATTTCGAGTTGTACAGACATTAAAAAGCCGAAGGAATTTTTTGAAAATTAGTTGGATAGTAAATCATTTTTTATACAGTACAGATCACATTTTTAGATGTATAAATTTTTTTTCTTGTATTATTATTATTACTTTTGTTGTGGACACAATGATCAAAAGTTGTGTCAAGTGCACATAATGTATATTTTATAATATGCAAATTTTTGACTATAAACTATTACCGTTTATAGGAATTTGAGAAGATTTTAAGCAAGTGCCTTACAATTGTTAGCGGTACTTGCAATAATGACTGTTATTTTTCTACATGAGAATCATATTTTTTATTTTTAGTTAATTTCTCCTTCGGTCTCGTCGTGCTTTGATCGTGTGTAATTTTGAAAAGCGACCAGCGTTTTTGTGTAACTGCCTTCATAATTATTAATTCATCTCATTACTCTTAACATAAAATCTTACATGTGTATACTAACCCGCATCCTTTAAGGACGAACGTCCAAAGCAACCGAATACGTATATGTACCGTACATCTAGCATTAAATTTTTCCAAACAGAAAAAAATTTCTTTAATTTTTACTTGTAAATTGATTGATGTATATGCAAACAGGACTATTGTTACAAGACAAATAAAAGTTATTTTTGTGCACTAGATCTTAAAATTTGCTCAGGTAATCTGCAACAATATAGAATCACTGTAAATATTTTAATGGCACTACACTATGCACTCTTACAGAATTTTCAAAATTACTTTGTGCCATTTATTTATCAAAATTTGACAAGTATTATGAAAATTTTCGAGCAGAGTACTTTATACTCCTGTGATTAAAAAAACAAGTATTTTGATAAATAACTATTTTATAATTAAAACTAGTTTTCCAGGTATTATACCAGTTTACAGTTAAATTATATTAATCGGATATAAATAGTTATTTTGTCTGTTTCTATTCTATAACAAACGAAATTAAATTGTAATCTAAAAAGCAATATTTTTGCCAATGTTGCTTGTACATAAATCTATGTTTGTGGGGAATAAAATTTTAATCTAAATGAATACTGTGTGCTTATTATATTCTGATTAACAATGGTAAAGTCATCATTTATTTCTGTTTTCCTTCTGTTATATTATCACTTTACCAGTAACAATTTTTAACCAATGTATTGCCACTTGAATATGTAAATCTGATAAGAAAGTAACTATTTAATTCTTATTCAGTTAATTTATGTGGATCTAAAGATAGAAACATGATAAATATCAGCCTTCAAGAGAAGCGCAATGCATTTGTGCTTTTGCACATTCACTTTTTCTTCAGCTTTATTCAAAATTGAATATTTTGTCTATTACGGGCATTTTGGCGACACGTGGACCAAATCAACTCGTGGAAAATGAGAGCCGAGACAAACCAATTCATTGTGGCAATAGAATATAAGTTTACATTATCTACCAGATGGGTAATACGTAGTTAAACAAGAATATATAAAACAATAGCTGTGTAATGACACATTTATATGCGATCTTCAACCCGTTTCAAAAAATCCTCCATTTTTGACATTTGAATGATATTCCGACCAATCAGATATATATTTGTATATAAAGTTAGTGACGTGTTAATTACGTCATCAGTTTAGATTTTCAAAGTTTACACAATATAAATTATAAATCAAAAAATTTAAATAAATAAGAATGTCGTCATATATTTTATCAGTTTTAAAATAACGAATAAGAATCGCTTTTATAATAATTTTTTTTAACCAGTAAGAAAGCGTATTGCGCGATTCACGTGCGCATTAAAGGCACGCAAAACAAGATGGCGGCGGACACGCTTTGTTATTCTCGACAGTAGTTTTTACGATCGGGAAAATACGGAAGATGAACGCGGCCGACGATCTCGTCTTTATTTTAAACAAGTATTAAGTTTTATCATTTTCGTTGGAAATTAATGAAATGAAGGTAAAAGAAAACCTTTCGGACGATTTCGAGACCAAGACAAAAATCGCTAAGGAAGAAGCTCGAGAAGAGGAAATCGTTCCTTTTTTCAAACTTCCGGAAGAATCAGGTGAGAAAAAAGTAGTCGATTACCCCTTATCGATTTATTTCCCTTCGTCTCCCCGTTTGTTAATATTTATTCTAATTCCGCGTAAAATCCGATTAAAAATATCCCTATCGATTCTAAAATAAATTGCATCTCATTATTATTCGTATTAAATTTTAAATCCGATCGATTAAAAAAACCCGACAATAATATTGTTTACGTTCCGTGTATATTTTTATATCCTACATTTTTGTTAGTAACTGATACCGGTTGCTATGGCAATTAGGGGAATTTCTCTAACTGTTGCTTGAAAAATCCCTATATATATATTTTTTTTAATGAATTTTACAGGGATTTTTCCTAAAAATTACTAAAATTTTTTTCACTTCAAATAAAATTAAATGATTAATAACAATTATTATTTGTAATAATTCATATTTTCCCTTATCAAAATGATATATTTTAAAGTAGAGAATTATTGATTTTGTTGGTTATTTTCTATGGAGTATGAATAATAATGTTACTGTTGTCACCGCTGCATTGCTTTGGGAATAAATTAATCTGGTAAAAGGTACGGATTGAGCGTCTCTAGAAGTGACTTCAGAATCTCCCGCGCCACACTTTTAGTTATGATATTTTATAATAATACTAAATTTCAGTCTATAAGAATAATTTATGATAAAGAAAGTTTACTTAGAATGGTTATACTTGAATGATTAAATAGCTTGAAACTCTGTTTCCATTGGCAGTAAAAGTTCTTACATATTTTTCTTTCCAAAATTAAAACAATAAAAAATATGAATCATTATCATCATCATCCATTAATGATTCATCCTATCAATTATACAGGATGTTTAAATGTAAAACTGCTTACTGTTTTAATCCAAAACTGATTTTTTTTAAGAGATTTCAGTTAATTGAGATAAATAAATAACTGATTTTGCATTTCAAAATTAATTTTCAATATTTAAATCTCTCTATAAATTATAAGGAGACATTGCCTAATCAAATTTCTAGATTTTTTCGGTCTCTCTGGAAATGTTTTTGAAATCAAAATCTAAGAATAAATATTGATAATTTGTAAAAATAAATTTTTGGCCAGTCCGGCAATGTTTTAATAGCTTAAACTGAATCTGGGAGATAAACAAGCAAATCAATTCGAAGAGAAAATATTCTTCTATGACATATTACTTCTCTTGAATTGTAAAATATGGTCGGCAAATTAAATGGTCGGATAAAAATTTGATTACCGGGTCATTCGAATTATTTTCCTTTAGGAAAATGATTTTGAAGAAGGACCTTGTAAATTCCGAATTCATATCTTTGAATTGGACTTTGAAAAAGTAATAGAGAATTCAGTAGTTTCATAAAAATCAATATTTTCCATTTCAAATACATTTTACACATGAAGGGAAATCACTTGATTTTTCTTTATACTTTTTCTAATTCCTTATTTTTGTTACGGACAATTTTGCAGGTCAGAAAATATCGAATATAAAATAATCCTATAATGCATTTGCAGAAATTATTATTTTTATGATTAAAATTTTTTTTAAATAGCAACAAAAAAATAACCAAATGATTAGTAAACTTTAAAATAACACTATTACAATTATTATTAATATTTTACTAAAAAATTATCATCAATAATCATTTTAGAATAACTTCAACAACTTGAAAATAACATTAAATTTGCAAGATAGATTTTTACATATATTTTTGAATTAGAAAACAAATATACAAAGATACTGTTCAAATTTCATTTAAAAACTCGTTACTTACTTTTAAGTGAAGTCTGACAGATTAAAAGGACAAATATTTTATCTTGGTTTCAATATCTATCAAAAATAAAATTTAAACTTATTAAATTGAGTTCTTTTCTTAGAGATACCTTGGAAACTTCAATTTAATGTTGATTTTGGCATGCCAACCATTTTTTACATTGTATGCATATGACCATTTTTTAAAGTAGTTTATCCATTTAAATAAGCTTTACGTTAAAGGTATACGGAAGACCAACAATAAACTCGGTCTTCTGTACTCTAAGTTACTTAATGGATTATAAAAATAAGAATTATTAATTCATTGAAGTTCATTTCTCACTTTACAAATGTTCTGTTAATTACCATTAGTGATTTAGATGTAGCCAGTTGGTCCAGTTTACAGTGCACATGGCAGGTTGGTACAGTTTGATTTTCAACAGAAAACTTTGGTTTGAGTAATCTCTGGTTACAAATAGCAAATTATTGACTTTTAATATCTATTATATATAAATTGTAATGATCATAGTTGTTTGTCACAACTAGAAAATTCTTTTGCACATGTACTAAAAGCCCTAAAACAATTTCTTATGGCAATTCAAGCATGATCCAAGGAATAGTTTTTGTAGTGTAGAATAGATTTTAGTTTCCAATGACAACCAAAATAGCAGATTAACAATTTCCATACTAAATCAAGCATGGCAGATATGTAATCAAATCAATTTTGGCTATATAATAAAGTTCTGTATGTGATCATGCATAGAATTTTTATTTAACTTAGCAGTAGATGATGGTTTAGTTACATATATCAGTTAAGTATACAACCATCAATACTGTATTCCATAACAGAAATTATTATTTAAGTGATAAATAATATGTAGTTGTTACATTAAACCTCAATTTGCATGACTAAGTATTTAAACAAATACTTAAAAATCAACTATTGTTAACTAGAAATTGGTAAAATTCATTTAAAACATTAAATTTAAATACGTGTTTTTGGAGGGGGGAAAAATCAGATTGATAAAATCCACACATTTATAAGAAACACTAAGAATAAAAGTGTCTTCAAATTCATCCCCTTTTATACCTTGAGATTGACTACATTATTCAATCTTTACTTTGAGGCATTTGTCCTCCTCAATATATAAAAAAAACTCATCATCCTGAAGTTTTAATAGTCGTTATTACTTTATATTAATTTTATCATTGTGCCATCATCAGAGGGCATTTTTAACTTTATTTATTATTAAGGCAAGCAAGTTTTAAAAAAAGCCTGACTTCACTGTAGCACTCTTCAGACTACATTATCAAAGGCACAAAAGGGAATGAATTGTACAGATACTTCTATTCTAATTTAGTATTTCTTCTGAACTTGTGAATTTTAATTGTAATTGTCATCTTGGAATTTTAAATCAGATTTTTATTGTGGAAAATTAATAATATATTAAATGTAGTAATCTCAAAATGTAACATACCATATTATTAATTTTTGATATTAATTAATTAAATTTGACACTTCGTGTAAACAAACCAATGGTCAAGTGGTTATAATTATTAATATAATTCTGCCGACAAAATCTGATTAAACATAATGAATGTAGATAGTGGCCAAAGCTAAAAATGTCATTTTACATGCTATTTAAAATCACTTAATAAATTTATGATCAATTACTTTTTTTTGAATAATTTTTAACTCTAGTTTACTATATCAAGGTAAAGAAAATGCATAATTTAGATGTTATAAAAGATATAGATATGCATATTGATTTTATGAAGTATTTTAAGAATAAACTTCCTCCATTATATTTCAGACATCAGATAATCTTAATGTTGTATTTTTGCATTCGCCCATATTAATTCTGTTGGATTTAGTTGCAACAATAAGACAGCAATCGTAATACTGATAAGCCTGAAAACAAAGTAATTTTACCTGTTTTGTATTTCTCATATCTATACTTATTCCTTTTTACAATATTAAAGAGCTGAATTTTAAAATTTGTGCATTAAAGACTGTCATTATTCAATTATTTCTCATTTTCTTGAATTTGTTTGGAAATTTTTCTAACTTAACAGATTGATATGGAGCATTATCAAGTATAATAATGGTTCCTAAACTGAATGGAGGCAACACACAAATAATTTTTTGAATGTATCTCCATGATAATCTTTTTTTAGATTTTGATTCAAAAATATTTAAAGCACTGTTGATAAATCTATTAACACTTCCAATATGACATTATAAGACATTTTCCTTTCCATGAATGATTTTTAAATCTGTAGTTCAGTCCAAAATATAGAATATCAATCCATCAAGACTAGAAGTAATCATAGTGTCTTTTTAAATAGTTTGTTTAGTATGGCCCAAATTAAATCAATTCAACTTTCATGTAAATAATAAATTTTGTAAATTTTTCCATATGTACTGTTTTATTTTACATAAGTATTGTTGTCATTAATCACTATAGTCGTCAACGGCGATCGTGCGGTGGTGATGAGGGACGACTACAGTTGTCAAATTGTTTTGGGGAGTATTGCCAAAAACTACCGTGAAAAAAAATTCACATAAAAGATAAATTATGTAACAATAAAAAAAAGACTTTTCTTTACTAGACATAACTGTTTACAAAATCTTTTTCCGAAACAGTAATGAGAAAAACATGTGGGAAAATACTTTAAAAATTTCCCACGTTTATTCTCCACTACTGGGGGTAGAACCATACCTGACTAGTCCACTGTTGAAAGGTTAAATGACTCTCTTTTGAGTAAAGAGCAGTAAGAATTATGATCATTAATTAAAGGTTTTAACAGTTACAAAATGTATTCAGTTATGAAAAAGTTTGGCAGGTCAGATTGTCATTAACTTTCTTTAGAACTCCTTTGCAGCATGTAAATTGTTTCAGAAAAATGCATGCACTTTATCTCTTATCTAGAAGCATGATGAGCTAACAAAGTGTTTAATAAGAGGTATTGTCTTCATTTTCGTAGAAAAGGACTTGATTTTTCCTTTTATTGATATTCTTTTTTGTATTCAGTGAATAGTACTTGCTGACACAACAGAATAATTCAGTGATATTTTCACTACATTGTTTATAGTTTAATTTTAAAAAGTTTTTTAATATTAAAACCATCACAAAATCAAAAATCAACTTCTACAAACACAGAAATCATAAAAATGAATATAAGATAACTCTCAAAAGCAAAAAAAATCAGTCTTCTAGACATTCTTCACATTAAATGAAGCTTGGAACAAGGTTAAATTAATGTGAAGTTGTCAGTTGTTTTAAGCTTGGAGATTTCTAATGCTGCAAACAAAGATGCTGCTAAAGAGAGAATTGAAAAAAACAATGATAATTCCAATATGTCAGTGTCTGATTTCAATGCATTGATGAAAATTTACAAAAGCGTCTGCACTGGAAAACTCCTTAATTTTAATTTAGCTAAATCTGTTCTGCTTAATGGAAGAAACAGCTACAATGCACAATATTCATGGGGCTGAAGAAAGGGGATAAAGTCAATGTAACTAACCCTCCAACAATCACTGAAATGTAGCTAACACCAGAGGTTGTGATTTAGAATACAATGTCGATCAAACAATGAATTTCTTACCATTTGCAATAATATATGATATGTTGTTTCATTTTTTTTCTTTTTAATTATTTTTTGGTTATTATAATCACTTTGGCTTGGTCCTAACATGATCACAATAAGCTGCCCACTTTACAATAATCTAAATATGCACTCTTCAAAGATAAATGAATTTTATTTGTATTTTTAAAATTAGAAAAAGAAGAGTACAGATTGTCAGTCAAGTGGCTTCTTAATTTTGTTAGAAATCCTCCTGAGATAGGAAAAAAAAACTTTAATTTTTAGTAGATTTTAGTTTAATGGACAACAATTAATATAACATAACTGACATATTAAGATTTGGCAAGAAATAATGAAATCATTAGTTTTTAAAATCACACACCCTAAAATTCAGGTTCTTTTCAGTTTACTCATTTATTAAAAATATCAAGGTAGCTTAACTCTTTTGGGAGGAAAAACTATAGTAAAACAGTAAACTTTTATACAGATATTTTTTTGTTTTTGACAAAATATTCTTAATATCAGTCAAAACATTCCAAAAGTTCCTTGGGGCCCTTTTTTTTGCATGCATAGGATTTAAATAAAAATTTTCGTCAGTCAAGTACAAAAATAGCTGTTAGTTACAAACGTGTATAAAATACTGTATCAAGTTTTAGAAGCTTAAAAACATTCCCTGGAATTGCCATATCAGAAATGAAAATGAGAAACTTATCTGGAATAGATAGTAAAAAACTTCCAAAAGTAATTAAATTATAATCATTCCTAGCATTAATTTCATTTAATCCAATCTCAAGTCATTTTATGATTATGGTATCAGAAAGCCATAAATTTTACAATTCAAACAGCCAAATTGTATAATTCTTAAAATGACTTAAACAAATTAAATCCTAATAATCCAATTTTTACAGTTACCAGCCACATTTGTAAAGTGGTCTGACTACAGTTGGATGAGAGTGAAATGTTTTGGTTAAGACTTTGTGATAAAATTGTATTTTGGGTGAACTTTATCTAAATAACAGGTGATTATATATTATACAACATTTAATAATTGCTAGTTATTCACAACATGTTGCATGTAAAAAGATCATTTGATTTAAAGTTAATTTTTTGAGCATTTCCTATTGTACAACAAGATTTTTGAACTAAAACTATTCTCTCCATCTTTTAACTAGTATATATGTACAAATTTTGGTGACATTCCATTTAGTTACAGAGAACTCCAAATAGGAAAATTTTAATTATAATTACTCTGTATTTATCGTAGATGATCATCATGAATTCTTCTTCTTTGTAATATTTGTAAATTTATAAATGTGCAATCATATCTTCCTATGTTATTGGAAGATTATTCTGAGTAGACAATTTTGGTCTGCTAATCCAGTAACCTATCAAGATAAATAAAATAGTCTGCTAAATAGTAATAACAATAGTCAGTGGCTCTCATTGTCATGACAACAGTCATTCATTCAGCTGTTAAAACTGAATCTAGCATTATCCATTAATTCCTTCTTTTAATGATCAGCCAACTAATCTTGCTCATGTTTTATAGGTTGGTCTGATCAGTCCACTCAACCTCATGTCTATCGCCATGTTGTCTTGCAGCAGAGTGTTACCATGTTAGCCTATATGGATCACTCCACATACAATGGCACTCAGCCTCCCAGCATTTCCGAACCAAGAGTGTTTTTAGGTTTTTCTATCAATGATTTGCCCATTTTGATTGGTGCAGCTGTTGGTACGTTTCTTTAAATCTTTAAAAAGTTTTTATTTCCAAATAATAAAATTTAAATATTTTCAGGTGCTGCAGGTCTCATAATAATAATTTTGTTTGCTATTATTGTTTGGCACTGCTGCCGAATAAGACAGAGACATGATAAAGGTTACTGTAAGTATTTTTATATTAACAAATGCATATGAGATAAGCATTTCTCAGATGTACATTCTATCAGATATTGATGGATCTTGTCCAGAAGATGGTTGCACAAGAAAATTGGGAAGCACAAATATTGTTCAAAGGTCTGTGTAAATTCAAATTTCCTTATAAATTTAAAGTTTTTAGATAAAAACCACTCAAATAATATCTAGTGATTCCGTCGTGTTTTTGGGAGTGTCTTCTGGACGGTCAGACAGAGTTCAACCTGTAGAAACTAGGACAGTGGTGTACCAAGGAACTTTGACTCGTTCCCAATCAGTACCTTTGAAAGAGCAGACAGTTCCTGTATGTAATAAAACTTTATTTATAAATAAAATTTTAATAGTTCAATTATTATAAAATTTCAAATATATATTCTAGGAAACTAAAAGTGCTGTAAAGAAACGACCCGTCAGTCAACCAGTTCAGTTTCCACTGGCTAGTTTGATACATTGTACGTCGACAAAAGCACAGACATTACCTTCAGCATACACAAGACATATGCCAGAGAAGATTTATTATGCAACTCTTGGACTGCCAAGCATACCAGAAGTAGCTCTGAGAAGTTGTGAATATTTACAGGATATAGCAGTCTATAATCAGTTTGCTTCGTGCAATGGTATGTGACATAGATTTAAGAACAATAATCTTAATGTTAAAATATCTTTTATTCTAGCTTTGGATGAATCTTGTCACTACACATGCTTATATCCAGTGAATCCAGATCTAACAATGAAATCACGTAGTCTTCCTACCTGGGGACGATGCCGCCCCAGGCCTCTTTCAACTGAAGATGATCTAAATGAGCTTTATGCCAAGGTAAATCCAATTTCTTCCCAGACATTATTTAAATTTTAAAAATATTTAAATTTGTATTTGTTTACAGGTGAGTTTCAGCAAGAAACGCAAAAATAGAATGAAAAATGACAGCGCAGCAGCAATTGCAATGAATAAGAGCCGCAGCACTTTTGTTGCAATACCATTCACCCACAAAGACACAGATTCCCTGGTAGATAATGAAGCAGTAGTAGTGTATGACGAGCGTACTGCATTATAATTACCAGAGCTACAAGTTTCCCATGGAAACTTTTTAAACTGCCTGTAATTAATCATTATTTAAATTCTTGTACTTGGAAAATTTTGGAGTGAGTAGTGAATTTCCTTTTCATGAATGTTGCATGTTAATAGTAGAAAGAGAAGAAAAAAGATTTCATTCATTCTTCACATATATTGTGAACTTTAAAACTTAATGCTTAATCCAAATCATGGCAAAAATAATAAAATCAAATTTTCATTTGATAAGAATATTTTCCATGTGATCAGTTCACATTTTGATAACTAGGATGCATAATTTGTTTCTCTAATAATGATAAATCTTACATTTTGATAGCAACATCCTTTTTTTCTATCAAATATACATATACATGTTTTCTATTCCCGTTTAAGAAAACAAAAGTTGATTGTTTTCTGACAAGTTTTTTGGGTTTTTTATATCCAAAAACGTGGATTTTTCTGTCACGTTTACAATCCATTCAGTATTATATTTAATACATTTATAATTAAATTTAAAAAAAATTGCCAAAATTAACAATTACTGCCATATAATTTGCATAATTTTCTTTCAAAATGATGAATTATGGATCCTGGATTTCAAAGAAAGAATTTTGTCGGAGGATAAATTCTTTGTAATAAATGCTAGCAATCCATCTCGTCCGAGATTTTACTCATTTCATTACAACAATATGAGATATTTTTGTCAAGAAGTTAAATATATTTTTACATTGTGCAAGACACAAATAATATTTAATTTTTTTGATGTTTGTAAATCTGTTTGTATTAACTAATATATTTTCTTCATAGATTTGTGTAAGTTAAAAGATTGTATGTTAAAAACTTTTGTGACAATTCTCAAAATTACAACTTGGGAATCTGTTATGTTGTAATTTAAAACTGTTTTAATATTGTGATAGATGTTTTTGGATGAAGAGTTGTCGGCCTTTGATTTTTTAATAAAATATTAATGTGTTTGTCTGTCTGTAATCCATCATCTAAATATATCTAGACATTTTGCATTCTTTTACAATATTGAAATAAAAAATGTATTCATTAAAACCATATAAACACCCTCCAAAGCAATTTCTTATTAATAATTTCTAAAAATTTAGTTTTTACATTTATTTATTAAGAAAAAGAATTTTTAAATATTTAAAAGTTCACTATAAATTGTTAATTACATTTTTAAAAATAAATATGCATTTTACAATTCAATACAACTTCATATAAAAATGGCAAAATGAATAATCACCTCTAACATGAGTTGCTATGTAGATAAAATTTTGATCACAAAAATCATTAGACTTTAAATTTACTTATTTACATACACTGTGCCAGAGTTTTCTTTACCATTCTGTAAAAAAAAGAAAAGTATAGATTATTAAATATAGATTTTCATAAACTAAACCTAAGTTTTTCATTTTAGTACAGTAGAACTTCCAATTCTATACAATTTAACTTGGATTAAAACATGCATCATATACAATATTCAGTAATACAATTAAGCAAATAACTCATGTTATAGTGAGAAAATCCCTCCCTGAAAAAAGTAATTTGAATTAAAAGTCCATTGCAAAGTTTTGGACTCGTACATCTAAGATACAAATTTTTAATACAAAAGAAAATTTATTCTAATCTTAAGACATCTTTAAATAAGCATATTGACCTCTTCATAGATCAGATCCGTATAATTTCATAAAAGCCAATAAAATAACTTGTAAATAACTATGATGCTGTATAAAAAAATCAGTTTACCATATTATTTCTAGATTTTACTAATTTAACAACTCATTGCATAAAAGTAATCACAACACCATTAACGAACAGTCTTCAGAATCAATCTTATTGCAATGCCATTTTATATTACATTAAATTTTTGTATTTTTATATTATTAGGGTCCATTTACAAACAACAGTGATGTGCCAGCACAGTGACTGTTTGGTGACAGTGATAAGTATTTACACACAACAGTGACGTGACCATGCTGTCAGTGAGTGGTCATGAACTTTTCAGAGGATGAATTGGCTATGATAGTTATATGTTTGGATGAAGAAGAAAAAGAAATGCAATCAAGAAAGTGCCGCAAGTGGGTACATCAAGCATGGACAAAAAATATCAACAGTGGGAGTTTCATACTCTTTATAAAAAAACTGAGATGATGAGTATATTTTTTGAATATTTTCAAATGTCCCAACATGCATTTCATATTTTATTAAACAAAACAGAAAATATTCATTTTGTACCCAATGCCCATGTATTTCGAATGAGATAAATCAAATAGAACTGGGTGTTGATACACCATTTCAATTAAATGTTCGTCATCCATTGGAAAACAAAATTTACTGTCAGTGAAAATATCGTTCCTGTCAAATATACTTTCACGGTATGGTCACGCCACTGCACAGCACTGTGATGGACAAGTCTGGACGGTGGTTTAAAACTAGGTCAACAATTTCCCACAGACAAAAATTCACTGCACTGTGCCGGCATGTCACTGTTGTGTATAATTGAACCTTTACACTGTAATGTTATATACACTTCATGTTACAAAACTTACATCTTTACAATTTTAAATTTCTAATTATTCCAAATAAAAGTAATTAAATTGTTTTCTTTCTGTAAACTGTATGATTCAAGTTGTCTTTTTAAAACTGTTAAAATTCATTAACACAATACAATTATATATTGTTTTTACTAGATTTTTCCATAATATATTATTCATTTCTCAAATAGTTTTTAAAACAAACAATAACTTAAAAAATAAAAGCTGACTGTAACAACTTTTATAGCCAAACTTGGTACTAATCTCTCTTTATTGAAGTTCCTGGTACAATAAATGTTCTTTAATACTTATCTTAATACTTATCATATTAATAAACTGCATTGTTTGATTCTAACTTATGTCACAAAATTTCACTGAAATTATCTTTTTAACAGTTCATTATTATAATAGGTTCACTATCTTGTTTGTTTATATTCATTGTTGCTCTGTTTTTATTCAATAATATTAAACATAAAATGTACAACAGCATTACATTTTTATTGTTAACTATTGCATATTTAAGAAAATCAGTTCATATGTAATTTATAATAGGGATACTAAAATGTAACTATTGCATTACTGCTTACAAACATATCCTTTAACAACAAACATCAAGGTCATCAAAGAAAATGGAGTTTATAATGTTTTAATATCATATACTAAAAGCATGGTTAATAAGTAAGTAGGTTTTTTTAAAGTGTTTACGTCATTTCAGGAAATTGGTTCAAATTATTCAGATAGATATAGAACAATACTTCTTCTCATAAGAAATAAATAAAAAAAAATCCAGTAACGAGTTGCATAACTTTCCCAGCTGTTAGGAATTTTACTTAAAAAATAACTTTTATATTATTAATTATTATAAAATGGCAAAAGTTTAATTTTGAAAGTAGAAATGAGTTTTTAAAAATTTGTAAATACTAATAATGAGTAAAATATTAAGTCTGACCTCTCAAGATTTGACATGAACCTCCATCTCCCCACTCCACTTTTAACCACCAAAATTTAATAGCATCAATGTCTCTTATACACGAAATTACCATACCAAATTTTATTTCTTAATCTTTACCCATTCTGAAATCTTAAACAAAATGCCAACACAAACACACATCCACTGACATTTTTTTTACTTTTGGGTTCAACTGCAAAAAATCCAGATCAAATTTAACACAATTTCAATACTTTCCTTTGTTAAGTATACATAACAGTCAGGAGCCAGGAAAGTAAAATTTCCAATATTCAAACAGTTTTTAGGAACATCAGATTCGGATAACATGTTACAGCTGTATTTATGTTTTACTTATTTACAAGTTTTTCTTTATTTCTACTAGAAAATAAAAGTAATTTAAATTGATTAAATTGTTTTAATAAAAACAAATGCTTACAAGTTATAGTATGACATTTATATAAAAAATGATAAACTTGTCAACAAGTTGATGTGACAATGAACTAGTTTAGTTTTAGTTTTCAACTAGATTATCTTGTAAAAACTTAAACTTTGTATGAAGTCTTCATATAAATTTCAATTTTAAATATAAAATAAAGTTGAATTAATCTGATTCGATGTAAGTAATAAAAACACTTTTGATAAAATTTTGTAAGTTTATTATTAATTTAAAAATTTTAAATATATCCAGTTTAATATGAATATGTTTAACAAAAAAGTACATTTGCCACTTGATAATTTCTCTAAAACCATTATTCAGAAAATACAAGATACTGTCTAAAATAATGTTTCCACTAAGCTATCAAATGCAAACCCACATTAAATAAAATAAAAAACAGAATTGCAGATATGAAAGATATTTTGCACTTTATCTTGCTTGTCTTGAATATAAAGTTATAATCCTAAAACAAATAATGTGTTTTTATTCAAAGATGTTAATCAGTTTTGAGAAATACTTTTTAATATTAACTATAATAAATGATATCTTGTGTTATATAAAGAAGAGACATCTATAATGTATTTTTCTGAAATAAAATGCAATCCAACTTTTCTTTTTCAGCCTACTTTTTGTATTGTGTTCTAATTTGTCTGTGAGGATTAGAGTAATTAATTAATTACAATTACATCAGATCAAAATTTTGTTTGTTATTAATCAAATGAATGAGGAATGGTAGATTTACTATAAAATCAAAAGGGTTAAACATATATTCAAGAAGAGGATTTCCTTCAAAAACCAGGTTTATCCAAAGAATCAAACTTGATATTTACATTTTAAAAAATATAATAGCAGCATGAATATATAAAAATTTGTCATCGTTTTCCCTTTTCCACTGTGACACCAGTGACAGTCCAAAACAGTTGATATTTGTATCATGACTTCTATAGAGAATATATTTATTAATATTACATTATAAGGCAAAGTGATCATAATTAAAGTATCTTTGATCAATGCTATCTGAAGAGATATGTGGCAGTCCTAAAGTAATTATATTTTATATGCTGATGTTTCAAAGACATGTGGAAGAGATTTCCACACTGAAAAGATTCGTTCCAAAATTCATCACTACAAGACTTCTGATACTGCAAGCAGCAAAAACCATGTGTCACACAATAATATATTGTACATGTTATGGGCAATTTCTACTGCTTGCAATGCCACAAGTCCTATAGTAGAGCTTTAGAACTGAATTTACCTCTGTGGAAATCTCCCATATGTCCTGCAACAGCATACAAAATTTGGTTGCATTTGGATTACCACACATTCCTCCAAACAGGAATACTTTACAGATTACAAGGTGATCATAATTAGACTTACAGTGTTAGAATGATAATTACATAATATTAAGTTAATAACTTATCACCATTACTAATAAATATTTTGAGAAAGTAACCAAATAATCTTACCTGATGTTTAATTTTTAAGGTTTTCTGTGAAGTTTGAGCATCTGTTAAATTGATCTTTTTCTCAGTTAAGGGTTTTGCTTCGTTTTCATCATTAGCATTAAATTCCTCCTATAATTGTTACTAAATTAATTTAGAGCTCTTACTTTATTAAGCTTTGCTTATCACTGTAATAGTTATTTATTTTGTGTAACTTACTTCAATTTTAATTGGAATTGCTGAATGAACATTGGAATTACTGTCTTTTAAAGTCGTCCTAAACCTCCGTAAAATTCTTTCTTCTGGTGAAGTAACTGGAAGAACTCTAGGATAGGAATATTCCTTTCTCTGTGGTGTTTCTCCTTTATGTTCAAAAAAAATGTGGTGTTTTTTTTTTGCTATAATATTAAGATAACAAAAATTAATTAACTACTTACCTGAAGGAACATCTTTTTTCCAGCTAGAAAGATATGATTCAAATTCCTTCCCACACTCACTCACTTTACCTACTAATGATTGTACATCTTGTTTTACAATATCTTCAATCATACACACTTCAGTTTTCTGATAGAGAATGTGCATTTTAAATTCTTCCTTTTGCTTATTTAAAATGTCATCTTGAGATTTATACATATCTTGAGCAGTATCTGTTAAATCCTAAAATTAAAAACATGATTAGCAACATTCAATTCATAAAAGTAAAGATAAAATGTATACCTTGAGTGAATTAAGATTTGTGTTCATATTTTCCTTTTCACATTCTGAATGCTCTTTCATGCTCTTCTTTATATAGTCAGCATTATCTTCCCAATTCTAGAAAATAATAAAGTAATTAAAATTTTAAATTATTTATACTTATTATGTAAAAAGTTTGTTACCTTTTCTATCTGGCTTCCAAATGTAACAAAGTCTGATTTAAGACGTTTGTACATATTCATAATTTCTTGATTGACATCATTCATCTGCAGTAAAAAGTGATTATTTATATACAGTATAAATTCTGAAAAAAATTATTGGAGTAAAAATATTATTACTTTATGAATTTGTGAATCAGCAGCTTTGACAAATTCCTTAGCCTGATTATCCACTGTAGCTTCAAATGTTCTAGAGTCATCTGATAATTTTTCCAAGTAACTGAAAAAATGTATATAAATTTATAAAATAAATGTTTTTAATTAATTAAAAAACTTTTTTAGTAATACATTACCTTTCTAATTCATTCTTATGATCATTAGAACTGCTCAGAAGTTGTTGATGAATATTCATAAGCTGTAAAGAAAATTTAATTTTAATATTAATATTATTACATGGTGTGTTCAAAAAGTATCGGACCTTTGGTCGGCAAAAATAAATTTATTGACTTTGAGGTACAAAACCCTAATCCCCTTCAAAGTAGTCTCCTTGGTAATGTATACAC